AAAGTTTCTCAGCGGATTTGGGCTGTACTCAGCAAGCGCAGTACAGCCCCCAACTCAGATTTGAAAAAAAATCAGTGGATGGTTATTTTCTGACTGGTCGGCGGCCCCGATCGGTCCGGGCAAAACGATCGGCGTTCGGGGTCGGCGGTCGGCGCCGGTGCAACCCTACAGTGGGGCAAGTTTGCGGCCACTGAGATGTGCACAAATCCAGCCTTATCTTTGAATTTGGTGATGTCTCACCAAAGGGTATCTATGGGGTATAAAATTACTATAAGTGGCATTTGAACTTTGAAGGGACTTAAAGTGGTGTGATTGTGTGAGATAATTTAATGTTTCATAACGAATTTTAGGGTGACCCTCAGCCAAAATTGTCTGATTTGCAATCCTCCATATACTTTTTTTTTAGCTTTTTTTTTCCCAGGGAGGGGGGGAGGGGGGAGGGGGGGTAGTCCGGGACCTTGACCGGAACCCTCCCTAAGTCCCTGGACCTGGCCTGGCAGGTGTCAGAACCCTTGGTTCTCGAACCAAGGGGCAGGTGTCAGAACCCTTGGTTCTCGAACCAAGGATCCGCATCTAAGAGCAGGGAAAACAGGACTTCGTGCAAGGTAGAGAAATTGACCGAGTACAGTGCACTGACTAACTAACCCGCACGACCTCGGAAGTACCAACGTGACAGAGGACGGGACACAAGGGACTCCCGGGCATGGCGGATCTCCGAGGAAAGTGGTAGGTGAGCAGCGGCAGTGCCTCCGAGGACAGTTCAAAAGTAGAGGGACACAATAATTGTGGTGGCAAAAGGCCGGAGTCACAACAACGAAACAAGAAAAGGGGATCGTGACTGCGGTGTCTGAGGGGCGAAGTGCCCCTGGCCAAGGCACATGGATGGATGGAAACAGGAGCAAAAGAGAGTAGAAACGAGAAGGTGCCAGAAATTATCACCTAGGATGGTTTCGAACATCCTTTCTTCTTCTTCTTCCTCTTCTTCCTCTTCTTCTTCTTCTTCTTCTTCTTCTTCTTCTTCTTTTTTGGCAAAAGGCTAACCACGTAGATCAGAGCTCCGGAGGGCACAGGCCTGGAGGATGGGCCCCCGATGGGCCCCCAGGCAGGTCGGAAATTAACAGACTACCAATGATGAGTTACGACTTACAAGAGGGCCATGGGAAATAGAGGGGAATGTCCCAGGCCATAAAATTAGTGACTTTCAGCAATATGACTTCGAGTTGAAGCATAAGAAAGACATTTAAGAGTACACTCACACTAGGCCCTTAAAATAAAAAAATACTAAAATAGCAAAATGAGCGGCCAGATCGAGTTGTTCGTTTACAAGGACTCAACCTGGCCGCTCATTTGTGATTTTGCGATTTTGAGGGCCTAGTGTGAGTATGGCCTTAGAATAGGGGGCCGGCAGAATCATTTCGCAGCATCACAAACTAACACATGAGTGATGAGAAGGTGAACAGGATCGCAACAGAGTACTCCAAAGGCCCCCTGTCTATAGCAAAATAATTGCAGATTTGGAAGAAGACTTCGATTGTGCTCCCAACGACGGGGATGTGCTGTGCAGAAAGCAGAGGGGTGACGAGACGACAAGTGTGTCTCAATGTATTAGGAGAGTGCCATGATGCTCAAGGTCACTTTCGCCTCAAGAAAACGCACCTGCGACTCTTGGAGCGATTCTATTGGCCCACAACGAGGAGTGATTGCGGAAAGTGCGCGAAGAGTTGTACTATCCGTCAGTGGTCGAAGGGAAGAGTGCAAAGACCATACAGTCTTCTGAAGCCGCTCCCGCTCCCTGACAAACTTGGCAAATCCATCTCTACAGACTTTATGGAAGGCTTTCCTGAGACTAAGCGAAAGAATCACGTTATCTTTATCCTCGTAGACTGATTCACTAAGTTCATAAGGTTGACGCCTCTGAAGTTCTCCTCCACGAGGGAGATTTCTCGCCTCTTCGCTGATAATTGGGCTTGAACCACTAGTACCTTTGCCGGTTTGGAAAATAGTGGGCCTCCGACCTTTCAGGAGGGCCGAAACGAAACGAAACGATGGTCACCGATCAGATTTATCAACGGCAGCCGTTGTCTGGCCCGGCCTCCTAAAAGTTTGGGGATAGGCTAAAACAAACTTGCCGAAACGAAACGGCAAAGGTACAACTAGTGGTTTAAACCACTAGTACACGGTCCCAGCCTTGCAGTCCGAAACTTGTTTCCACAAGAAAACGAGGCCGGAATGTCAAACACTGGGCCTGCCGTTGATAAACTGGATCGGCGGTCGCGTTTTCGTTTCGCGCTTCCAGAATTCGAGGTGTCAGGCCCACAACCCAGGTGCCCATGTACCGGTGCTTTAAGATTTTGGATTTCCCTCAGACATTGTGAATGACAGAGACACTCAAGGCGAGTTCAGCCCACACCTAGAGACACTGAACACAAGTCCAGCCCACACCACGAGGGAGATTTCTCGCCTCTTCGCTGATAATTGGGCTTGGGAATTTGGATTTCCCTCAGACATTGTGGATGACAGACGCACTCAAGACGAGTTCAGCCCTCAGCCAAAATTTGATGCAATCCGCCAACACCAAACTCAAGACGAGCTCAGCCCACAGCTAGTAGAGAGATGGCCAGACATTAGTGAATGAACAGGACCGTGCAACAGGTCCAACGATGTCTGATACGGCCAGATCAGAATGATTGGGACCTACAATTGGCCAAGGTTGCAGGTGTTTACAACAGTTTTGCGCACCCCGCAACCATGCGTACACCTGCTGAGCTTTACCAAGGATGAAATCCTCACATGCATTTCAACGTTCTGGTCTTGGATCTCAGGCACCCTCCTGGGATGACGGAGTTCACTGTACAGTTTGCTGAAGAACTCCGACAAGTGACCAGGAGTATGCCGAAGGCGCAATTGGCAATGGCTGATCAAGCCAACAAGCACTGCCACCCTTCTGTCTTAAAGGAGGGAGACCTGGTATGGGTGAGCATGGATGAGTCTGCAGTTGAAGAAGGTGTCTGCAGAAACTGCTACCTAAGTGGTGTGGACCTCAGCACATACTGCATGTTGTTCGTGATGATACAAATGGACTTTCTTATCTTGTGGATTATCTTGTAGACATACCTTCCGATTTGAGGACTTGTCTTGCATTTCATGCTTCCAAATTCATGCCCTACACGGCGTCAAAACTCACAGGCAGGAAGAAGATGCATCCTCCCATGTTGTATATGGACATTGACAGTGGAGCAAAGGCTGGTGCGACAGCAAAGAGGAAGACCCAACATCCTCTACAGGGTCAAGTTCAAATACTACCCCAATGAGGAGGACAAATGGATCGATAGCACTGAGCTAATGCAGATGGCACCTCAGATGGTTGCCGATAGGGGGCGACAAATGGCGCGACTCTAGGAGAGTAAACTCAGTAATCAATTCCGAGTCTGCAATTTTCAGTCTTCATGTTGTACATACTAAGCTTCAGTGCACTTTTACACTTTCTGTGACTTTGTGTCTCATTTTCCTGCGAATACACAGGACCCCTTTTTCAATAGGAGCTTGCAATGTTCTCAGAGGACTTCAAACTGAGGTGGGACACTGGGGAGGCCTGTTGCGGGATTTGAGCCCACAACCTGTTGGTTTTGTTCTTGCCAGGATTTGAACCTGCAGTCAAACAAAGTCCAGTTGTTCTGTTTGTGTTCAGTTTCTGTTTGCCTGGCATTGTGGTAGGAGTAGGAGTCCGTAGGACCTTTTCGGCTGGTAGTTTTCGGCTTTTTGTTTGATAGGCAGACACTGAAGTCCCAGGCAAGGAGCAGCTAGAATTCATTCCTGATATTTTTACTGCTTGGTGACACTAGAGGTGCACTTTTTTTCAGCACTGCTTGAGAGAGAGAGAGAGAGAGAGAGAG